AATGAGCGACTTTGACCTTGTTTTTGTGTTTTGTATTTATATTACGATCAACCGTTTTTGTTCATTTTTTTTGTATTTGTATTAATAAAAAAAAAGTAGAAAAAAAAAACACACACGACAGAATGGGCAGTGTAGTAGACGCGATTTTAAAGCTCTGTTTTAGACCATAGGGTCGGGACTGGAAATGCATTAGCCAAATTTATGCTAGAATAAACCAATGAGGAGTGTTTTTGAGTGCGAAGTATATCACCATTTCTGAAATCGACGTAGTTCAGACCAAACCATTCCGTGTAACCGGTACTCAACTCGTAGTTGTCCATCAATGACCAGGTGGTGTAACTTTTAACCGTGACTTCATCAAAATATATAGCTGAAATATATGTAAAAGGTCAAAATGTAGATGTGTTTATCTATTTTCTATATTGTGCTGGACCCCCGTCTACTCACCTTAAAGGGGAACTAAATAGAGCTTATTTTGGTGTTTGTATTTATCAAGTTATGTATATTGATTATAAATTTGAAAAAAAAAATAAAAAAAAATGATTATCTTCAGACTTATGATGATTTAAATATGAGAAACCATAAACCTGCGAAGGACTTCCGTTTGCGCCATCTTGCCATAAAAAAACGCCCTCATGAGGTATAAACAGGTAAGGTAACAAAGCATGATGACGAAATAGTATCTGATTAAATATAACCAACTTAGGGAGCCATAGTTGGCTGGATGATTGAATTGACTTCTAGTCTAGGTTGTTTCGACTTTTACGTTAATGTTATTTACAAGCATATCAACATACAAACATTATGGATGTGCGATTGATCGAGACAGGCATTTTGTTTTGTTTTTTGTCTAACTGTCTAATAAATGCTGTTTCCAGTACTGCACTGTGCGGCGTGCAAATTATTCAAAGTATGGATGCTGGAGTATGCAATCTTGAGTTCGTAGGGTGGTGGTGGAAACATTTTCGTCCATGTATTCACGGGGCTGCACTGTCAAATCATGGGACAAGTGTCACAGGAACACCAAGCAGATTGTTCAGACTTCCGTGTAATTTGAAATATAACTTTCATCCGAACAAGGGGCATCGTCGACGATATACTCTCATCACTCACACTGGACTGATCTGAATCGTCACAGTATACCGTACTTCCCTGATCATAAGCCCGGAGGCATGAACACGTAAAGGAAAAGT